AGAAATGACTTAAATCGACAGAATCTTTATTACTTGATTATACATTTCCAGTTATTATCTTTCTCTTCCATTATCGAAGAGAGTATCGAAAAAAAGGGAACCATTAAAAACCGCTAATTTCTTTGGAATAATCAAATAAATTCAATATTAACGTGCAGGTTAAGCGTTTTTTTATGATTTTCTCACCCGTATATATCATTGATAAGATTACCGACTCCTTCGTATGGGATTCCAAAATTTGCATCTCCTCTTTTGGCCTTGCCGTTTGCCAATCGGATACGATACCACTCAGAAGATGAGACATCTGAAATTTGGCCGATGCATTACCTAACCGTATTAAAAGACTTCGAAATCCCAATCGAGATCTCACCTTGTCTTCGTCTTTTAGAGTTATTGCGTATTTCGTAATTCCTATGAACGCCGTAATTAGATATGGTGTTTGTTTTAACAATATTTTGAAGCTATATTCTTTCGTTACATTTGCAATCTACGGTTTGAAGGAAAGAAGGTTATTCACCAACGTAGGATAAACCTTCTTGTTAACGATGAATGGTTAGTATGGTTTTTAATAGAAGCACCCTTTATGTAACATGTTGCGCCGAAAATAATCTGTATACTAAGGGAGTTGCTGGTCTAAAAAGTTTGGGAACCTCTGCATCATAATGTTACATAAATTTGTAAATATAGGATGCAGAATAAAATTAAACGAGTCTGAAAAAAGCAAATTTTTGAACTAAAATAACAACAGTTATCAGTAGCGAAAATATCGAAAGTAATAAAAAGTAGTCGTACACAATTCGTAATAATACGAATATTACGAAGTAATACACAATTTCTTGAAAAATGTTGAAGATTATGACAAAAAGAAAGGTACTGGTCGATCGTCATCGTTATCCGATCGTGATAAGCAAGAAATTTTACGTGTAGCTTTCAATTCGTTGTTAATAACGAAGGAAATAATGGAAAATTTTAGTGTTGCAAGTGTTCGTCGAGTTCTACTATCCTGCAAAAATATTAAGAGGCTAAAATTAAGAAAGAAACCTCCGTTAACAGCGGAACACAAAGCAGAACGTCTACGATTTGAGAACGAAAGAGTGCATCGGAAAAAGAAATGGAGAAGGGTATTATTTTCAGACGAAAAGAAAATTTAACCTGGTGGCACTGATGGCTTCCAATATTATTTTCACGACATAAGAGCCAGCGTAATCGTGTGGGCTGACGTTAGTTATTTCGGCAAGACAAGTATCAAGTTCATCCATGGGAGAATGAATAGTTTCCAATACATAAATTTAATCAAGGAACAAATAAACAATCATGCAGAACGCACTTCTGGACCTGATTAAATCTTTCAACAAGACAATGCATTTGTACACACATCAAGATTGGTCCAATCATATTTTATTGAACAATATTATTATGATTAATGTTATTGTATCGATGCCAAATCGTACAATAGAAGTAATAGAAAATGAAAGAGGATGTACCCATTATTAAATAAGTATATGTGTTTGATAAGTAGTTATTGTTAGTTAAAATTTATCTTGATTATCATTTTTTTATTATACACGTTCTACCATTTCGTCCTTAAAATTAATAAACTTTTTTGTGACACACTAAACCTTATAATATTTTAAATTATTTTCAACGAACCGCATATTTTGAGCTCATAATATTTTCATATTATACGTCACAATCGTAAAACTTCACATGCGTCACCTGGGCTATTTTTTTTGACGAGGAGTGTACGAGAAGCTATCGTGTCCCTTGATCGATTCATGAGGGACGGTTCTAGACAAGAGAATCGAACTTAGCTACACAATTTTACATATCGTAAAAATACTTTATTTTCGGTAAGAATAGTTGAAAGCTTTCTTAGTTACATCAATTATCCAACGAGGAAAACGCTAGCCAATGGGGTTTGTGAATGGATTGGTGATGTGGTAATTTTTAAACAATCATCCCGTAGTTCTGTATCCCTGTTATTTGTTCAAATTTCGATTCGAAATTTCTAGAGATTCTTTTCGAAACATCGAACTTTCAGATAACGCAATAAAATAAAAGTGATCTTTTCGTCCACCTAAACAGACATGCTCCTTAAGTTCCAAGTAAAATTAAATGCTAATAATTTGTTGTCCTATTATGTGAAAATTCTCTTATCTAAACACTCTCATCCTCCAATTAATTCACTTAAGATTTCAACCGTACGACACATACTTGGACTATAGTGGCCGATATTCCGAGACTCAACCACATAATTCGCATCACTATCTTATGCGATTTATTTTGACGCATCCATATCCCGCAGATCATTCCAATGTATCTATTGATTGGTAAAGCTCGTTTCTCTATAGCGAGCGTGTCCATCGTGAGAACGTAAACTACTGAACGCTCTGTTTGGCTCGCTGGATGTATCCGTCCTCTTCCCAGTGAATTTTTCCCCAGTGAACAATTCTAGGAGTAATTTGCCATTTCGTTTCACGATGCGTCATGTTTCCAGTTGTTGAATTATTTTGTAGACAATTAGAGCGTCTCCATCCACGCAGCAACCCCGACACGGAGACAGGTGTGCATCATGTATTTTTTATACGGCCGATCGACCGAATGTTACCCCTTGACATTTTCATCGTGTGTAACTGCTGCTTAGGAACGTTTCGTCTAGTTGTTACAAGTAGTTTAATGCCACTTTTCGCAACCAAGAAGTTACTGCGTTTGGAATCGACATGTGAAATAACATACGTGTCTCCTTAGGAGGGTAAGCTATACTGCGGGGCGCCATGAATTCTGAAAGGAGCCAGTTGGTCGCCATGATCCAGCAAGGGAGAAGTGTTCGCCGAATCTGGACTGATTGGATTGTAGTTGACTTTGATTGAAATATAAAGGATTTCTCAAGAGGTGTGTAAGATTTTTCTCTGATAAAACAAAGAAAGTTCATCGTTTTGTTACGAGCCAGGGCGATAGCGACGCGCGTGTGAGCCCTGCGAGTGGGTTGAATTCAAGAATCGAAGAAGATACGATTAGTCCTGTTTATTTCAATGGATCCAAAGATTGAGGATGGAGTAGAAATCGCAGACGAGACTCTGACGCGAAGTCAGATAGCTGCTGGGGATTGGTATCTCCCGGTAAAGGGTAACCGTTGGGGAGGTTAGGTAAAGAATAAAAAAGGAAAGATTGATATCTCCTAATTAAGGGTAACCGTAGGATCGGTATCTCCCGGTAAAGGGTAACCGTTGGGAAGGTTAGGTAAGGATTGAATCGTATCGTTGGAATATAGTACGCGTCGTGGATAAAGCCTCGCAACTATTAATTCGAAACAAATAATAACTCGAGCGGTAAAGTTATTATGTCGTGGGGTCGTTACACTGGTTAGGATTGCTTATTCCAATGGCGAAGGTTTAATAACGATTTAACAGACCTTTTAAGGTTAACAAATGATTATATATTCAAAACTGAATAATTCTAATGATACAATTGTACAGTGTCGTGTTGTCGCGGTTAGTGTATGAATTTAATTACCTAATTGTTGCACGGTGTTAACGCACTGGCGACGCGGGGGTCGAGAATGCTTCTATTGCCAAAATAAAATTGAAACCGGCTACGCGGATCTATATGGTTGATTGTGATACAAAAAGGAACTGAAAAGCCCGATCTCACTGAAGCATTCTTTGCAGATGATCAACGTGATGCTACTCTATGTGACTCTACGCGTAACTCTTTCGTACTAATCCCCCGAGTAACGAAAATCATTGGTTCATATACCCCTGGATATTGATGGGGATACGTCAGTGGAAATTTAGCGGTTGAGATTTTCGTTACTCAGAGCTGAACATCTGTGTGACTTTAGGGAAAGTTTAGATAAGGGTTACCCACGCAACGCGAGTTAAAAGATGATTTTGAGAAAAGTATGGTACAGCTGCAGGGTGCACTTCGGTAAGACCAGACTCCATATTCCAAGGGGTAGATAAAATAAATGAACACGAGCTTCGAAAAGAACGGGTGTGCATACGTAACAGTTTCATTCAATGTTCATCTTGATGGAACCATAGACATATGAAGATATAGACCGAGCATAAACTGCTACTATTGCTAAGGGACGGTCTGATATTCGGGACGTGGAAGGCCGATCGCACACGGCGCAACCAAACCAGTTTCAAACCACTCTGACACTACATAGTTGTATGTGACCGTGGATCTAGGTAAAACAAAGAGTGCAAACGGTTTGCAACACTAATTTCAAATCGATTGCGCCCGTTTGCGTTCGGCCGAAGGCATCTATCTGACATCGATTTATTTCGGCAAGAACTTGTTAGTATTCGGCTCACATTTCACATGTACACATATCGTACTGTGAAAGTGTCGTATTTCCATATATTACATCAGATCACTTCACATCGCGTATTTTCGATTAATTGAGATGTCGAATAGTATAGCCTTGATCGCTTAGAAGCGCAAAACGTTTAAAAGACAAATAACGTACATCGCGAATCACATAAAATAAAATGTTAAATATAAAATTTACTATACAATAATTTAAATAAGTAATTATTTCCAAATTTAATATTCAGAATGCAAGATTGTTTGAATACTTCTAAATTTCCTTGCAATGTAAATCTAATATATTTGGTCTTAAAAAATAATAGAAAAGACTATAGTATTTTTATTACTATGCACATACAGTAATACATTAAATAACCATAATAGTGTTATAGAAAAAAACAGATTCTATTTTAGAAAAATTTTAGAAAAAAGAAACAGATTGAAAATCACAGATTGTAATATGCAACTACGAAAAGCTGAACATGTACGAGTCTATATTTTCATATGTCTATGGATGGAACGATCAAGAGCAAGATTCGTTTTCGTTCATTTATTTTCACGGCCGAATTCAGATTGTTGAACATATAATACATGAACTGGAACAAATTCTTTACGGGGCTAACAGACCATGAGAACGACAGAAACGAGGACGAGACGGAAACGGAGGACGAGGATGTCACGGATAGCAATGGTACCGTTTCGACTGAGAAAAGGTCGGAATGTCTCGGGATGCGTTTCAACAAGCTCTCGCGTAATCGTCTGTCGCAGCGGTGCATTAAACCTGCCTTTTTAACCGTCAACGCGGTAACATTTGTGAGTAATTATTAACGAGTAATTATACAATCATAGAGAACCAGAAGTGAGTTACAAAAGAATGTTATGTTTTCGGGCGATTTTTAAAGGACTTTGGGATAACGTGCGTTTCGGAGCGTTTAAAGAATTAGAATTCAGCGATGTTCGAAGACGAGTCGAAGAATCGTAACTTTGATGATTTGCACTTGGCGATGTCTTTATTCAATGTTCCGTCGTTTTACAATGTACTGTCATTTTTATTGTCTCTGATGACAATAAATGGTAAATAAATGATCACGAAGGCGTGACCATATACATACCATACCATGTGATCGTGCTTCTAGCTTGCAGTCTTTGCGTCTTATTATAATATTCTTTAGCTGAACATATTTAGGCTTGATTGAGCAACGGTCGATCATATGGTGCAATTCGTGCATCAGGGCACAACAAGAATATTTGATCCATTATAGCCTACTGCGTATCAATATTGATACTATTTAGATTTCTTTCATTTTCTTTATTGACTAAATAACAGTATAATCAGAATAAAATCTAGACAGAGAAAGATTTTCTATTTTTTTCATTTTTACAAAAACGAAGACATGACACACTAAAAAATAAATGGTTTTGCAGAGGACATGATATTTTAAACCAGATCCAAGTTAGAAGAGTGGAATAAAGTTAATTAGTTTCCTTAGTCCAAAAGCTAGTGAAAAGCCAGTGAAATCTTTTAAGAATATTCGTTTTTAATAAAATGCAACTGTACAGAGTGTCCCAAAAATGTTGCAACTCCTTGAAAGGAAATGGATGGTTCGGGAGGTGATTTGAAACAACTTTTTCCTTAGCGAAATGTCCGGAACTTCGTTAAGGAGTGCCTGCAGAGTGCAGTAGTGTTAGGCCATATGCCAGACGGCCGCAGTAGTATAGGGTACGCGCTAGACAGCCACGGTAGCGGAAGCTACGCGCTAGACGGGCGGACTCTGTTAATTCTATGTTGAAGTCTCTCAGATTTTCGAATTTTTCGAATTTTTTGCACTCGAGAGGTGACTCTCAGTCACCATTAGGTTTCACGCAGTAAATCTACGATACCTAATGTTTCTTTAGTTTTAATTTCTTTGGAGCTCGAAGTGTCAATAAAATGATTGTCGGCGAGGTTAAAGTGACCTTATTCTCAATTCTAGATAGCTTAGAATTCATGGCAATAGAATGCTAAGAAACATCTCGAGTTGCTGGCAAATACCAGAAAAAAAAGCCTCGAGTGCAAAGGGTTAATATCTCCTTAACGAAACCTCGGACATTTTCGCTAAGGAAAAAGTTGTTTCAAATCACGCCTCGAATCACCCCTTTCAAGGATCTCCAACATTTTTGGGACACCCTGCATAGAAAGTGTTTCAAACAAAAAAATTCGATTTTTTGAAACGACAAAGTGGTGTAAAGTCTGTAAATCCTTAAAACAGTGACCACCTAACACCATCAACATCCAGAGTTGTTTAATATAAATAAAGCTTGCAGGCATCGTTGGCGTTGTAACATCAATATGGACCCTCACCGATGATAAAATAATGTCGAGATTGATGGGACAGCATTTTTTCCTGATTACCATATTGTTCACCGGGTTCATTGGTTTTCTCACGTCCTTGCTAGGGATTGTTGGACTGGCTCGAAAAAGGCGAAAGCTTTTAAACATGGTACGTTCAATTTTGTCGAAAACAGAAGAGAAAAGAAAATCAGTGTTTTGTTTACCCCTCTGAGAGTGTCGCTTTTTTCAGTATGCCACGTGTTGCTTACTGTTCCTCTGCATCATGTTCGTCAGTGCTATAATGAGCTTTTGGATCTTTGAGCACATCACGACAAGCATCCAAAATGACATGGTCAGCTCCATGGAGACTTACCAATCGCTGTTATCGAGTAGAGAAGCTTGGGACAACACTCACAGACATGTAAGATAATGTAGGATTTATTATATGTTACTATATTTATAAAATACTGACTTAACTGTTATCGAAATTAAAATGAATAGAGTCCGCTCAACGATCCGCTCTACGTCTATTCGCGCCGTCTTTACCCTTCGACTGCTCAACCAAATCTGTCTCCAACGCTTCTTTCTCTACCTCCACTTAAATTTAAACACTACCCAGGGTTTTTCCCAGGCAGGGGAACGTTGTTCTAGGCGGCTACGCCGAGGCGCGCCTGGACAACATCAGCCCAAGTGGCCAGGTCATAAATTAAAATAAACTAAAGCTACGTTACAATATCCTTATACCTATCCTATAGCTAACGCTCTCTCTCTTTCTCTCTCACATTCCCACTCCTACAATAATCAACTTTGTTTATACACACTAAGAAGTATCTTGCACCTGGCACTCTCCATTTCCTTCCGAATACTTCAGAAAGGACTGTATTCTAGTTGAAGTGTTGTGGAATTAAGTCTTCGAGCGACTGGGCGAAGTATCGCATCGCCGTTCCAAAAAGTTGCTGCGCTACGTCTATCGAAGAAGTAAAGTTGAACTTTGTTTTCCTCGTTTTGTAAAACATACATAAACAAATATTTGTAGTGTATACGAATGACGGATGCTGTAGCATTCAAGACGGGGTGTTTAAGGAGCGCCGTGCTTGTACTCAGGACGCATATTCACGCTATAAGCATATCGGCCCTCCTAATTTTCCTGATAATAGTAAGTTAGCGTAGGTCTAAGCTAGGACTCGCGGTAATCCCTCGATATAACGACTAGAATTATCATTATCACTGTTTGGTCGAATCTTTGATTTTTATGTTGTTTAGTTTACCTTCAAGCCTTTACTGAAATCAGGAAATGATTGCAAATTGTTCATTATGTTTGTTGGCGGTTGAATGAACAAAAGTTTGAGCAAAAAATTAAGATTAAAAGTTTCCAAGTAGCTCTTATTTTTGAGTAACAAGATTAATAAGGGTAAATAGGATAATCATTATAATCAATACAGAGGTATAAGGTAAAGTATCTTAACCCTTTGACTGCGGTACCATTTTCGCTGAAAATTCCAAGATGTGTAAAGGTGTGAATTTAAAAAAAATATTAGCTTATGGGGAATTATAAGTGGGAACTTTTTTGTATTTACAGTTTATTCATAGGTCGTTTGGTTTCAAAAATAAAAATTAAAAACTTTGAGAATGACAAAATGAAACTTTTTTTATATTTACAGTTTACTCGTACGACGTTTAGTTTCAGAGGTAAAAATTTTAAACTTATAAAGACCTCTTTCCTGAAATTCAATGCTTGCAACGAACTTCTAACTTTTCAAATTTTATTTTCGAAACTAAGCGTCTCATGAATAAACTATACGAATAAAAAATGTTTCATCTCATCATTCCCTATAAGTTGATATTTATTAAAAATTGATTTAACGAATATAGATATTTCTCTGAGTTTATTTCTTGAGAGCGTGTATACATATACGCCCTTCGCAGTCAATCGTATTATTTTAGTTTATTATGTTATTTAATATAAATTAAATGAAAAATATGTAAATTATCAAGAAAGCGACCAGCCCCGAATTCTGAAGCTGGGTTGCTTTTTTAAAAGCTAGATGGCGCTATTTATACTTTTATTTACCGATATAAGGTATCGTACCGACAGGTGTCGGTAAAAAACTATGCAAGCAACGCCATCTAGCGGTAAAAATAGGAACAAATCGAGCACAAGCTCGAGCGTTTTCCCGATAGAGGCGCTGACCAAATGTCGGAATTTTAGTTCGGTCTATTCACCGCTAGGGGGCTACTGACTCGATTAACTAGATTTATTTTACTTCAATTAAATAGCATACTAATTTAACATAATACCTGCACGTGTAAATGTGCAAATGTGTAAGGAATATTTGATATAAATTTGCATCATCTGGAAACTCTAATTGAGTGGGAATTTTATTGGATACGAAGCATGCACGCCTACGCACCCACCCAAGTGTCGCTCACACTCGGTCATGCATGCCGTCAAACACAAACTAATGACTTCAGCGTCAAATAAAGTATTTGACTCTGATTTTAGAATAACTATCAGCCGAAAAATATGTCCGTGTTAACACTTTAACTACCAGGGCTATTTAGAAAGATGTTACACTTAGGAAACAACCGTATACATTACTATATATTAATCTATCCTGATAATTAACTTTTGCATACTGTTACGATATACAGGGTGTCCCAAAAGTCGGGGAGGAGCCGGAAATGGGGGGTAGCTGTGACGATTCTGATCAACAATTTCCTTTCGAAAAATGTCGGATGGGGCTTCGTTAAGGAGATATTGAGCGAAAACCCTGACCAATCAGAGCGCGCGTATACCGCTGGAGCGGCCGTGGTAGCGATAGGCTACACGCTAGGAGGCAGCGTGAATGTCCTTCGATGCACGTCGAGTCATTTGTTTGCGTACAAGCGCGGCCGCCAGCGCGTTGCCTTCGCTACCACGGCCGCTCCAGCGGTATACGCGCGCTCTGATTGGTCAGGGTTTTCGCTTAATATCTCCTTAACGAAGCCCCATCCGACATTTTTCCAAAGGAAATTGTTGTTCAGAATCGTCACAGCTATCCCCCATTTCCGGCTCCTCCCCGATTTTTGGGTCAACCTGTACATCACAAGTCTCGTCTGTTTCCCAAAATTGAAATAATTAAGTAAATAATCAACAGCTCCGTTAATAAATTCTATAAGCTTAATCACTGGAATGAAAAAAAATGAATAAATAGTCTGACGGTAGATAAATTGTTAACAAAATCACCGTAACGATTTACTTTGCAGTTACTGAGCTTCGTCCTGACAATCTGCATCCTAATAGAACTGAAGGAACGTCCACTCAGTCGATCCGTCACGTAAAAGAGATCCCGAGGTCGAAGATGAACGAGGATCGAGAACGCTTGAATGATAGTACTCTCCAATGAAACGTTTTCCCGTTTTTATTATCATATATAGATCATATATTTTCTGAAAACATTTAATATATTGTACTTATGATAGTAATATTGTAAGTTATTGGACATGCTGGTTTTGTGTTTCGTGACACAGTGTGTGTGTGTGCCAGACGTGGCAGCGGTTCGTCAATTGGAATTTTATATCGATATCATATTTTTTTCTTTTTATCTCGTTTGCATTTTTCTTTTTGTCAAACTTGTTTGCCTCTGCGACGATCATCGTTCGTCGCGAGTACCAGGGGGCCAGAGTGGGGGAGGGAAATACATTTATAAAAATTATCTGTGACCATCATCGCTTTCATCCTCGATAGGGGGTTCCCGAATGAGTGAGATTCACGGAATCGATATAGAGGGATTCGGAAGGGGGAGCAGAGTCCTGACAAAACGGAGTGCGGTCTCCCAATTGTCGTTCGAATGCTAGACGAAATATTGACACTGCAATAGTTCGTCGAACGCGTTACAGATCTGTCTTTATCTCTCCCATCGTCGCTCGGATAAGCTTGGTACCTGTGCTTGCACCTGCTCCGTCCACGGATTTCTTGGTAACCGAGTCGCTCCCTTCGTTTACCTTGTGTATATATACGTATTGATCTGTGTGTCAAGGTACGTAACCGTATGTGTGTGTATGTGTGTGTTTGTTTTTGTTTGTTTCGAGTATGTTTATCGCATGTACAGAAAGACACAATCATAGAGGACAGGGCTGGGCGCAGTCTCAGGCAGGTTCCATCCAATTACAGATATATTATATCATAGCAAACATCGTGACTATTTACAATAAATACAGTCGATTAGATTATATAAATAAAATATATCGTATCGTTAGTTTAGGTTTACAGCAACACGTGACAGTAAACAATTAGATCAGCGGCAAAGTAGCGTTAATCTACTTAAAGGGTAGTGGTCGTAGTAGCTGCAGCATGACTTGACTCTTCTGCATTCACTCGCTCTCTCTCGCTCTCACTCTCACATTTTCTTTCTTCAATTATTTTTTTTTCTTTTTAATCTCTCTCTCTCTCTCTCTCTCTCTCTCTCTCTCTCTCTCTCTCTCGTGTGCCGTTCCTGATCTCGACAAGGTTCGCTTCGCGAGAATCGATCATCATACATCCACGTGGTCCGACGGATTCAGCTAGCTTCCGGCCATGGATCTCGGTTAATTTTCCTCATTTTCGCATTTCACGATCCGCGTATAGTTATTAATTAATACAATCGTAATAATCAATAATAATAATAATCGTTCGATCTGCTCCGTCGAGCAAGTTCTACCCCGTTAATTCCAGAATTATTTATATTTATGTATTTATACGTATATATATATATATATTTATTTATATTCATATTTATATTCGTATTTATATTAAACGTGTTCAATCCTCCAGAGAAAACGCGTAGAAAGTTTCATTTTCTTTTTCCCCCTTGTTTATTTTTTTTCCCCGCGAAACAAAGACGAAACTTCACGGAAGTGAAGAGAGCGAATGCGTCGTTTGCTTCTTCTTATTCGACCGTTCACTTTCTCTCTGGCACGATCGAAACTGCGAAGAACGAGCTGAAGAACCGTTCTTGCGACCCTGCACGTTTGGGAATCCATCGTACGTTTAACCCACCCCCTTTCTCTCTCTCTCTCTCTCTCTCTCTCTCTCTCTCTCTCTCTCTCTCTCGCTCTCTCTCTCTCTCGGTTTATCTCTCACTCTCTCGCAATTTTCAATAATTTGACACTCGATACTTTTTACTTCTCGCTTTGAAAAATAGTCGATTCTTCGAACGCCATTGTCGATTCAATGGTAATTATATACGGTTGCAGATATACGAATAAACAGGGAGGGCTTGGAGCAGAAGGGCTCTGGGTGGAGTTGGAGGAGGGGTCAGTGTGAGTGTTTAGAGCAGCGATTCTTAACCACTGTGAATTCTTTTATAGTTCTCGATCTGTTATTGGAATTTGCCGAAGGAAACGATATAGTTTGAAATACAGATCGATTCGAACGTAAATCTATTTTAGTCGCAGTCACTGAACATCCGACTGATACTCTGTCGAAACGTTTAGACTATATCGTTCCCTTTGTGGGATTTACGAGCAACTTATTATCGAATTCAGTATTGAATAAATTGAAATTACCAATGTATTGCATTTATCTAAGTTGCATTTATTATCGAACACTGAAATTATTATTGGATAGATTGATTTTACGACGAAAATAGAATTGATTATTGAATAAATTGAATGTATTATCGTACAAAATGCAGTTATCGTGAAAGAAATTGAATCGATGAAAGAATAAATTGAATTACTATAATCGTTGAGATAAGGAACTTTGCCACATTTTTTTTTTTATTCCTAAGTCGTCCGTTAGTCGAACAAGACTAAGAATCTTCATTAAAAAGGTTAAGAACCACTGGTTAAGGGGTCCACGAATTGAAGCCCGTGGCTCGATCAGCAATTTCGAGGTCCGTTCGCCGTTCCTTCGCTGAAAATTTGTGTTGGCAGCGTTAATTTTTGTTAGTGGGAGAAATTTACGAAGGAACGAACACGTTTTCGTGGAACGCGCGACGAGTCTACGCAATATATCTAATATATTTGATAAAAAGAAACAAAGAAAGACCGTCTTCGAACACGTTGACCGACGAGTGCTCTCTTGGACCGCTGAGTTTTGGAGAATTTGGTGTTACCGTAGCTCTAAACACTCGATGTTCGAGTCAAAAATACATTACCAAGCTTTCCTATATAACTCTCTTTTTTTCTCTCCTTCCATCTCTCTCCTTCTATATATATATATATTTATATATTTCATTTTTTTCCTGTTCGTTTATACACTCAGCGTTATAGGTTATCTTTTTTTACGTTTTGTAGTTTTCTCATCTATCCAGACATCGAGTGTCGTTGTGGTGCCGACTATCTAATCGTTCGATTACTGCGAGTTACATGAACGTTCGTGGAAACGCGGGAAAGTAATGCGTCGGGGCAATCGAGGGGAATACCGAAAGAAAGGAAACGAGGGGGAAGAGTGGCAGTGGAGGGGGGGGGGGGGGCAGTGAGTGTTCGGGAAAGGGCAGTGTACGCGGAAGATAGGAAAGGTTGGAACCATAGAAATTATATAGGTAGAGTAGGGAAGACACTCGAGAAAGTAGGAGTAAAACAAGAATAGTAAGAGAAGAAAGATCGAGTGCACGTCTGTCCTTCTCTAACAATTTCAAGAAACTTTTGTGGAAGGGAATTGAGGGGAAATGTCACTTCAGAAATCTCTGGTGTCAGATGCCCCTTAATTCCTGATTTCTCCCACCAAGTTTTCAAATTCTGATCAATTTTACCATAGAAACAAACATGCTCGATTTCTTCTTCCTTTCTTCGCATCTTACATCTCCGCGAAGCCTTCTCTTCTACTCTATCTATATAATCACTTTGATTAAAACCCTTTCGTGGTCTCTGAGTATGTATTAAAACCCTCTCGGTGCCGACATTCGAAACCTTAATCCTTGCCGGTTCTAAAGATGTCCGAAACTCGGACAATCTGGACCCTTAAAGAGTTAAAGCTATTCGTTCTAATCTTCGTAGACGTTGAACGCGATGCAACGGACCGAAAGGGTTCACTGGAGATTGGGTGGGGATAGGTGCTAAATAATATCTTATGCACGTAGAGACGTATATGGCGTTCAGTATACAGCGAAACGATCGGTACTGATCAGCGTTAATTTAGATATACACACTTAGTTACTCGGTGAAGAAACGATAGTTAACGTTCGTTATTCATATCCAGCAAGCACGAATATGCATATTGTGTATACGTATTATTACCGATAATGAGTTTGTCCACGTGATTCGCGTGGCTTTTATTACATAAACAGACAGACATCGCTTCATTCTGCTGCCCCGTCACTGTCGTCGAGGGGGGGGGGGGGGTTCACTTCCGTCTACCGATAGCCCCTCGGACCAACGACGAAGAAGAAGCTTCCATTTTGGAACAATTCGTACGCGACATAGAAATCCTCACGAAAGTGACGGACGCTAAAGGGGGAGCGGGGATAGGGCACATCCATCAGTTAAAAATACCTTAGCAACGCTATTTAGTATGTTCCGATGTCCTCTAACTATTCACCCTCGTTTTACTGTCGCACGAGAAAGCACCACTTTATAGTACACCTTGACATCTTTTCGCCTAAGTTTGGGATGTATCAATTCGAAGCACGCGTCGATATATCTTCTATCTTGGATGCTGGTCCTTCCAGGTCCTCTTCTGCTTTCACAGGGCCATTCATTGTTGAGATACGCGCTTCCGCCCGTATCTGACGTGTCCTCTTCAAATGGACAGGCGAGCACACTCGCATTGTACATCGACGATCGCGGCTGTCATCCTCCTCGACGTACTTATCCTACTGGAAAAAGTTTCTACGTCAATGTAAAGCTATATATTGACTAGTTTCTCTCACTCGATTCGCCTCAACGACGAATGGCCTGCTCTAGGGGGTCAGCTTTCATCTCAGACCACTTCCATCGCGTTCAACGGAAGCGTTCTTCATTTTGCGCATTTCCATACGACGCGTTCCTGACTCTTTCATATCTCACGTTTCACGCAGACTCGAATTTCGTTTCAGGAGTCTCACAGGTCGCGGACCAAGGGTTCCGACTCCCCGTTCATCAAGATTCACCGTACCCTCGACGCGAGGAACCTCGGGTTGTCTGATCCTCCTTAACACGTCCCCCAATTTCTATTCGAATGAGAGACAGGTATCCCCGGAATGTTTTCGTGTCCTCTCGTGAACGCCGTATAGCGAACAGGCGAACACCTCGTAGACCACGGCGCACGTGTTTCAAACCCTTACACACTACACCCTATCACGGTACAATATAATCATATTAACCTTAATGTTTTTGGCATCTTTGAAATACACAAATAGACTTTGGTATAAAACTTTTTTTGATAGTGTTCAGTACGTTTCGCGCGCGCAACACGTCGGACGCTGCGGCACGATACTCGTATCTTCTCTCATCCATCCGGACTCCCTCCCGCGCCACGTTCGAAAATTCCTGTTGCTTCGATTTTGGACAGTTCCCCCGACTCAGGGGAGGAGAACTCTGACTAGACGGATCTAGCATATCTTGTCGAGCCACCAGAGTTTGCAGGTGGGCGCGCCTCTCCTTCTGCGACGTTTTTTGCTGGATGGGTCGACGGCCTTCTTCACGAAACGGATGTTGTACGGGTCCTCGGCGAGTTCTGGATAGAGCTGCGCGTCGTGGATGTACTCGCCCTCGTAATTAGAAGCGAGGCCGGACTTGAGGATCTCGTCCTGCTCGGCCACCATCCACTCGACCGTCGTGGGGGTGTTGGCCTTGAGTGCCTCGCGTTCCCTGTGCCAGGCCTTGCGTATGGCGGTGGCCTTGGCGTGGTGAAGCAGTCTTTGTTTCTCTTTCTCGGCGGTGGTGCCGTATCGTAGGTTCACCACGTAACTGGCGCCGTGAATTTTCACGTCTATCAGCGAGCTGCTGCCACTTCCGTTCTCGTTCTCGTGGAACGTGGTGTTCACCTGGCTACCGAGACGCTTCAACTGTCCGCGGTCTTCGCTGGCTCGCCAGGTCTCCTCCTTGACGAAGTAGAAAGCGTCTTGCTGGGCGCTGTGCACCACGAAGGTGAACGGAAGGAAGTAGGAACGGTTGAACACCGACGTGAACACGTCGCCGTAAATGGCGTTCGCGGTTGGCACGCTGGACACGACAGCCTGACCCTCGGCTGTCCTGGACACCAGGATCCCTTTTCCGAACGGAGGATCGGACGCAGCACCGAGTCGACTGGGTATCAGGTCGCTGGTGTCCTTCTTCAGCGCCGAGCGTGGCGGAGCGGATAGGCTGATGGCGTCACCCGAGTGCCTTTGCGCGATATAAGCGAGGAAGCCTGATCGAACGCTCAGGTTCCTGGTCTTCTTCTTTTTACCGAAGATGGAGGTGCCTGGACCCAGAGCTGGCGGAATCAGGGTGTCTGGTAACTCCTCCGGGAACAGTTGGGGCGCGAGGCTCTTCAGGTCGTACCCCAGATGCGACATCCATGATATGTGGTCTGGAAGATTGAAATGGGTTAAAGATTATCGACTATTTTCGCGAATTGTGCAGATCTGTCGTTCGAGGTTCGAAGTAAACGATTTCTTTAAAGAACGTTCGATCGTTTGAAGTGTTTCTGAGCTATATTAACCCTTTGCACTCGAGAGGTGACACTCAGTCACCATTAGATTTCACGGAGTAAATCTACAATACCCAAAGTTTTTAGGTTCAATTTCTTCGGAGTTCGACGTATTAATAAAATGATTGTCGGTGAGGTAAATGTTACCTTGTAAAATCTCGATAGCTTAGAACTCGTAGCAATAGAATGTTAAGAAATATCTCGAGCTGCTGGTAGATACCAGAAAAACATGCCTCGAGTGTTATCACGTTGACTGCCAGACTAATACTCATGAAATTTCCTACGAGGCTAAATTTGCTTTCTATATACTTAGAAATGACGAAATCCTACATTTGTAGTAGTACTTATTTCTCCAACCTATTTAGAGTTTATCAATCCTATATAGATTAATTTTTGTGATCACCTCGCTTTCAGAATTAATATTTTTAATTCCTCAGTGCGAATTCCTGTCATCTTTATATGTGAGTGACGTGATGGTAAATGTATTAATAAAGAGAGAGAGCCATAAAACTAGCTTGTCTCAGTGAATTTTAAACATCTATAACATGCTCACCTGTTGGTTGATTCGCTTTGTCCGTGTGCCTGACGTCGATAGGATCATTTCCGTTGAATCTATACAGATGCAGATGCGTGGGGGTGTCTACCCTGTCCAGGACGTTCTCCCACAGAGGAGACATCCACTGGCCGATCAATGGATCGTACACTTTCCCATTTGGCATGTGCACCAACGAAGTCACCTACAAATTAGATCGAACATCAGACGTGAAAGTTGCAAATAAATAATTTTGATCTCACCTGATCGAGAAGTC